AGGAGGAGGAGGAGGAGGAGGAGGAGGAGGAGGAGGAGGAGGATAATGAGGAGGAGGAGGAGGAGGATGAGGATGAGGAGGAGGAGGAGGTGGAGGAGGAGAGGTGGCAGAGACATACGGCCCCTACCCTTCAGCTTCCGAACAGACTCGCTCTGCGGGTCCTTGTTGCGCAAACCGTCGACTGGAGAGAGCACGAGTTGCAGACGTTGTCCTCTCCCCGGTCGTGGCCGACACCACGCTGCAGAGCCCCCCCAGCGAAGAGCGCTGTAACTAATCGCGCCGCGTCACGCTGGCCCTGGCGCCTCGGTGTCGTCGCTGAGGACGTCCAAGAGGACCTTTGCAAGCGCTCTGCCCAGTAGCTGCGAGTTGCACCGCACGGCCAGGCGGCACTCGCGGCGATCGCCCAGCTCCGCGAGCACGAGCGCGTCCGCCTGGCCCGACCGCTGGTGGAACGAGGCAGCGAACAGCGCGCGGCTGCATCCGCCGCCGACGCCGCCGCCTCCCGCAAGCCCGTCCAGCCGCGCGAGCCTGCCGCCCACCTGGAGGCAGGACCAGACCGGGCCCGGCCCCGGGAGACAGGCGCGCACGCAGCACACGACGGCTACCTCGCTGCTGGCGAGCTCGGACCACGCCTGGAGCGCTCTCTCGGAGCCTATGTACTTGGGAGACATCAGGCCCGTGACCGCGAGGGGGAGCCTTCGGAGGTTGCCAGAGGTGATCATGGTCCAAGGTGCCCCCAGACTTTCGCGCCGTTCGGGTCTCCATGAAAAGCTGGGTCACCTTTGGTCAGGGCCTCTTCTGGCAACACTCGAAGCCTGAGGCGCGCTCGTACGCCGAGAGCGTCACCGGGCAGCCTGTAGGACAGCTCCGCGTGGACGGAGGAGTCAAACGGGCCAGCGACAGCGAGCCTCCCTCGGAACATGGCTCTCTGCCCCGTCTGCACTCCGCGCGCACGAGCACCGCTGCCCCAGGGGTGCGCCGCGCTTGGCTCCAAGGAGAGGCGCGAGTGGAGCTGATTTTGCTCAACGGCGTCGAATCTTACATCCTGCGCCTCCCGCCCTGCGTGCGAGGTGACGCACACCTCGAACACGAGGGCCGAATGGTCGCTGGCGGCCGCGCACGAGGACAGCTGCACTGCCACGGACTCGTCCTCGTACAGGACGCCCTGTGGCTGCGCCAGCAAGCTGCGGAAGCACGCGTCTACCTGCTGGGATGCGCCGTGCGCCGCGGGCGGCATGCGCCAGGCGAGCGCGCCCGGGGGCCTCGTGACGCGCGGGGTGCGGCGCCACCGCTCGGCCGAGCTGCTCCAGAGCGAAGGCCCTGGCGCGTCGACCGGGCCGCGCGGCGTGCCCGCGTGCCACGGCGGCCCCGCCGGTGCACCGCGGGGCGCGGGCGCGCCGCGCAGCTCCGCGCGCAGGAGGCTCGCCTCCTGCTCCAGCTCCGCGGCGCGGCCCTGGGCCTCGCAGAAGCGGCGCTTGGTCTCGGCAAGGAGCTCCCCCTTCTGCGCCAGGCGCCCCTCCGCCGCCTCGGCGCGGCGGGTGGCCCTCTGCAGCTCGTGGCGACTCTGCTCGAGGTCGGCCCGCAGGCGCGAGTTGCACTCCCGCAGGGACACGCAGACGGCCTGGTCGTCCGCGCGCTGGGCGGCCAGGGAGGGGCCGCGTGCGCTGGCCTCGGCCTGCAGCGCACGGTCCAGCCGCCCCCCCAGCTCCTGCACGTGCGCTGGCCCAGACACCCCGTGCCTCGACAGAAGTCGAGACGCAAATCTTTCATGGTGCTCGGCCCCATAGGGGCCCTTCTACCAGGCCTCGGGGCCGTCAGAAAACGGCTCGGGTGGACAACCTCGGCCCAGGGAAGTGGTCGAGAGGTCCGGGGCCCACGTTTCCGGATGTCTGGGATGTGCTCCTTCAACTGCCGGCGCAGCGCGTCGTTCTGCCGCTGGAGGTCGTCGCAGGCAGCGCCAGGGGCATCCTCGCTCGGAGGGGCGGGGCCGGAGCGGAAGGGGCCGAAGCTGGGCAGCACCTTCGCGGCCTTTGTCGCGCTCGCGTCGGCCTCCTCGACGGCGTCTGCCCCGCCGCCCAGCTCCTCGGGCCAGGCCGGCACGCTGTTCGACCTGGCGCTCTCGTTCGCCCCCCAGGCCTCGAAGCTGCTGGCAGTGTGGTCGGTGTGCTCCCGCCGCCGGCGCCGACTCGTCGCGTGGGACGCGTTCGAGGGAGACACCGACGTGGGGGACGCGCTGGGCGTCCCGAACTGCGTAGACTGCGAGAACCGGACAGCCTTCTCTGGATCGGTGGCCCTGGGCGCGCCCTTCGCCGAAACCTGTGACCCCCCTGGGTCGCTGCCACAAGGAGGAACGGCGATGCGGAAGGGATCCGAGCTGATGCTAGCCGCCTCCACCGCGCTATCGTCCGCCGCCGCGATGGTCGGCACTGGCACTGCCGCGTGCACGCCTGGGACTATGTGCTGATAGGAGGCTGGCCGCGGCAGTAGCACTTGCTTGGCGGCAAGCCTCTGCCGCGCTGCGGCGATCTCGTGCGCGGCCGAACCTTCGGGCGGGGCGGTCTCCTCGAAGTGCCTGCCCCATTTGTCCAGAAGCTCCAGGACCGCCCTGAGCACCTCGAGCACCTCCTTCTCGCTCACGCCGTGCTCAAACATGCTCTTGGGGCGGCGCTTCTTCTTGTCCTTCTCCGCGCTCCGTTTCGCCAGGGCCTCGAAGAAGGGCAGCTCGGACACCAGCGCCTTCGCCATCAGGTCCCCCTCCAGCGACATTGCAAAATCGAGCAGCCGCACCGCCGCCAGCTTGGCCGGCGCCGGCTCCGCCGGGTCCCGCATGATCCTCTTGCACCTCTCGGCGGCGCGCCGAAGGGGGGCAGTGAGAAGGCGCAGGCCTTCTCCGAAGGCGGCGGGGCCGCCTGTTGGTCTTCGGAGAGGGCCCAGCTCACTGAAGGGGAATACACACAAAACAGAAGATCCCTTATATTTTCCAATATTTTCTGGGTTTTTGTCTCCCCCCCCACTTCCCACATTTTCCCATCTTTCCTGGGAATCGCCGATTCATTGTGTCTGTGTGTGTTTTTCCCCTCCCGAATCACTTCTCAGAAGGCGCGAGGGCTTCTGAGGCGCCCCGCCGCCTCCCGAGAAGGCCCGCCCCCCCCTCGCGTCCCCCCTCTCTCGGCTCGCCGCCGCGCCTCGTGAGCGCCGTCGTCCCGGCCTGCAGGCTGGCCAGCGCGTACGTCTCCGCGAAGGCCGCGTGGCCCTCGCGCGAGCCCAGGCTCTGCAGCGCCCCCACGGGGTCCCGCAGCAGCGCGTCCAGGTTCGCGCAGCTCTCCTGCCCAGTCCAACTCCACCTCTCCCCTCCTCCTCGACCACCCCCCCCCTCCTCCCCCCCGTCCCCCTCACCTCCCATACGATGGCGTGTCGCCACGGTGGCGTGTCGCCACGGTGGCGGTCAGGACCGTTTCGATGGCGTGTCGCCACGGTGGCCCCGGCGACACGGTGTGCCCCGCGAGTGGGCAGCGTGCCGCTCCGCTCCGCTCCGAGGGGGCGGGGAGCCCCAGAAAGAGCTCGGGACGTGGACGCCTGGGGGCCGGGAAGTGAGTAGCGCGCCGCGCCGAAGCGTGGTGGGCCAAAACCCGGCGGAGCGACATGCTGTCCCCAAAAAAATCCCGACCCTGATTGCCCGCGCCACTCCCACCTCCACCCTCCGCCCCATCCCCGCTTTCGCCTGCCCCCCCCTCCCCCGCCCCCCCCACTCCCCAACGCCTCCCCCCCCCCGTTCGCCCGGCTCCTTCCCCTCCATCAGCCCCTCCACTTGTTTCAGGAGCGGGCCGCCGATCGGACTCCTGATGATCGGGCATCGCCTTCCCCTCCCCCCGCCCCTCCCCACCCTGATTCCGTTACGCCAGTGGTGATCATGTGTGGCGCAGCCCCCCAGGAAACGCCCTAGTCTTCTGCGATGGCGGAGTTCTCAGGCATGGCCTTCGTGGGACAAGTAGCCGACAAACCATCTCAATTGTATGCAGCTTGTAAGGCGCTCGTCAAAGCGGCATTACGGTCGAAGGAGGAGCAAATTCAAGCGCGGCCAATGTGCTCGTCCGTGCAATTCTTAGGTGCCCCTGTATGCAAGGTTACATATCCAGCACGTGCACCACGTCAAAGCACACACGTCGGGCGAGCATTACGAGGCGCTGTCCGACGCGGGCAACCACATCACAGACGCGATGCGTTCGCCCAAAAAGCAGCTGAGCTCTATCGGCCTGCGTCCCCTGAGCTTCTTGAGAGGATACACGAGGCTAGCTCTGCATAACTGTGTAAGATTGTGTGCCGCTGTGTTCCTCCGTCCCTTTTGAATAAGATGAGAGGTGTTCCAGACTACCTGTTGTCGCTTTGGCCAAGAACACTAGGCGAATTAACTGGCACGGGGGATTGGTGCAAGGCCTCCGTCGAAACTCAGTGTAGGAATTGTCTCTGCGTGACGGATCCTAGTAGTGACCCTCCGATGCTAGACTGCACAAGCTCCCCGAAGCTGGAGAGGCCCTTCGGAAGAACCCCTCCGGGCACCAGTTAGTCGCTGTAGCTCAAGAGGTTACTAGTAACACGAGCTGTGCGGGGACTGACTGCACTTCTCCAGTTTTTACTCGTTTTCAGTGTGGTGCCTGGGTGCAGCAGCGTCGTCGTGACAAAGTTTGTGCTCCCAGTGTGCGGCCCACGGTCAAGGGCCTTGAGGTCCTTCAGAAACCTCAGGGCGCAGAATCGGTCGGCACAAGCGTCTGGCTAATTTGAAGCATCTTTAGAAACCTCGAGCGAAACGTGCCCAGAAGTGCTGGATCTGCGCCCACAACCACCAGCGCTACTCGTCCTAATCCTGATCCTGTTTCGAGTCTTGAGTCGCGAGTGGCCGCCTTGCTTGAACGCATCAGGATGAAGGAGGCGGCACATCATTCTAAGGCGTTTCCTTCGTGATCGAGCTGCCATCCAGCTGCTCGAACCGTTCCTCACGGGAAGGCGCGGGGGGGGGCACTCTATACCCCCGTATGCAGTGCTTGAAGCAGGTACCGTGCAGGCCAAAAAGTCATGGAGTCCCCCTCCCTCTACTCCCCCCGCTCCCCCCTGTTCCTCCCCCCCTCCTCACCCCCTCCCCTCCCCTCAGGCCCTAGGCTCCCCTCCAGGGGGCCCGGCGAGGTCGGTGACGCTGATGGAGCCGACGTCTTCGTCGACCGCGGCGACCTCGAGGAGCGCACCGACCGCTCGGAGCACTCCCTCGGCAGGCGCGGCCAGGCGCCATGCGACCACTCAGAGTCCGAGCGCGGCACGGACACCGAGGTCATGGCGCCTCAGCCAGCGAGGCTCGTCGGGCGGTGGGCCGACGCTCTGAGAACGGCTGCGAGGAGCGCGCGAGGGGAGCTGCCAGCCGGCGCCTCGTCAGGCGCTCCTGCTGCTGCACGCACGCGCGCACATGCTGCTGCACGTTCCTGTGTGTTTTTGTGTTGGTCTGCCTGTCTCTGTCTCTGTCTCTCTGTCTCTCTGTCTCTGTCTCTGTCTGTGTCTGCGTCTGCGTCTGTGCCTGCGTCTGTGTCTGTAATCCTTTCCTTTGCGGCGCTGTGTGTTGATATGTGAGTGGTCCCCCTGCTTGTCCTTTGATGTTACCTCGCCTCTCGTGGCGCACAATTCCATGACAGCCTCAGCGCATCGAGCCCAACATGCGACAGCTTCTTGCTCCAAAGTGCTCCCGCCTTTTTTTGAGGAGCGGAGAACAGTATAAACATTCTTTCTCGGAAGTCCGCGCGGACTTCTTGGATTGACGCTGGGCACCCTTTCTTGGCGCGCGGAGCGCGCCAGGGGCGGCGCCCGAGGCGCCGCCAGCGGGGCCCCACGCCGATCCAAGAAATCCGCGTGGATCCCAGCGAAAGCAAAGCTATGCCGCTTGTTGGTATCTGGCTCTCGCCTGCAAGCCACAAGCAGGCTGCCGCAAACCAGGCTGCGGGTGGAGGGGGCCTCCTCGGGGGCGCACTGACCAGGGCCAACGCTAATGCGGGTCAGCCGCTGCCTCGTCGTGGACCCTGGCGGGCCGCAACGTGGCTCTCGAGCCCGGGCCCGCGGAGGGCGGGGTGGCGAAGTGGAGCCTCCGCGTGCCGCCCAGAGACGGGTCGGCCAGAGGGGATCGGAAGGGAGTGGCCGACCCCCGTTCGCGCGGACCCCCGCTGCGTGAGCTCCGACCTCCCCCCCGGGGGCCCTCCTCCTCTCCTCCTCCTCCTCCTCCCCTCTCTCCTCCTCCTCCTCCCTCCTCCTCCTCCTCCTCCTCCTCCTCCTCCTCCTCCTCCTCCTCCTCCTCCTCCTCCTCTCTCCTCCTCCTCCTCCTCCTCCTCCTCCTCCTCCTCCTCCTCCTCCTCCTCCTCCCTCCTCCTCCCCCGGGGGGCCCCCTCCCGGCCCCCTCGCCGCGGTGGCGCCGCTGCGCGCGGCAGCGCCGCTGCACGAGCTCCTGCTGCTGCTGGACAGCAGGGCGAGGCGGCTCCGAGACGGGGGGCCAGCGTCGCGGGCGCGAGAGGGCCTGCAGCTCTCTTCTGGTTTCCAGCGCGAGTTGGGCGAGGGGATGGGCGGCGGGCGCGGCCACCACAGCAGCGATGGGATGCAGACGGACATGCCGGTACTATGTGCTGGTTGGGCGAGGGGATGGGGGGGGGCGCGGCCACCACAGCAGCGATGGGATGCAGAGGGACATGCCGGTACCATGCGCTGATGTCGGAGGCGCACGTCCGACACAAACATACAGCACGCAAGTCTCATAGTGTATCGGTTCCCGAGCGGTGTGGCCAGAAAGCGCCCGCCACGGAGCTGAACTAGGTGCGCGTCGCCCTTGTGGGGCCGACGCGCCTTTAGTGCAAGTATGTTTGGGTGGTGCCGAAACGACGCACCTCGACCAAGCAAGCGTGCAGCCACGGGGCCCACCACAGGAAACGTGCCGCCGGGACCAGGGGTGACGGAGCAGAGGAGGGCGCGGGAGGGCGAGGACGGGCCAGAGCGGCTGCGGCTAGCAGGGAAACCCGGATCGCCAAGCCCAGACCTTCGACGTTTTTGGATGCGTCGATGCGTGGTCCCTGGGGATCATTTGTCATTCTTTTCGGCGATGACCCAGGTTATCAGGTGGGGGGAGGTGACGGCCGATAGCCGAACCTTTTCGCGCTGAGCAGCCCCACATATGCCCGCGCGCACCAGTCCTGCGCACCCCTCCGGACCTGCGCAGCCGACAAGGCCAAGTCATCCGGGGGGGGGAACGGGGGGAGGCAGGCGGGCCCGATAACCCAGATATCACAGGACCCTGAGAAAAAAAACGGTCTCCAACTTCCCTGAGGCCAGTTTCTCCACTCGGATCCTTTGCTGATGGCCCCGATGCTCGAGAACGGTGCCAAGGGATACAACACATAGTGGAAGGCCTCCGTCCCGATGTGTGCAAGACGCTGGAGGTCTAGATGGAAACTCACCACCACCCGGTGCGCATGACCTGCCGACTCGGTGGATGCACGTGCCCGTGTGGGATGCCCCATGGGGGCACCCAGAAAGGCATGCACCACTACCACCACCCCTGCCCGACACCCCCTCTCCGGACGAGGGAGGGAGGGAGGCGCAGATCGAGAAGCGAAGAGTCCCACCTTAGCCCCTCGGGCTAAGGTGGTCTAGCGATGCCATCAATGCCTCTTCCAAGACCATCTTCTCTTCGGGGATGGGGTGCCCGCCCTCCTCTCCCGGAGCCTTTTTTTTTGAGGGTTCGCGAGGGGTTACCGTCTCGCCTTTTCGCTGCGAATTTGAGGCCTGAAGACGGCCCCAGGCCCAAGAGAGCCCAAAAATGGGCCCAAGAGGCCTTCTTGGGCCGTCTTGGGCGCCGTCTTGGGGCCACCTTGGCCGTCTTAGGCGTCCCTTGGGCCGTCTTGGCGCCCTCGTGGGCTGGCTCGGGGGCATCTTGGGGGCGTCTTGGGCTGTCTTGGAGAAGTCTTGGGAACCTCTTGGACCGTTTTGAAAACTGCGAAAGCTGGAAAGTCGCACATGCTAAGAATGTGCGTTTTCCCATAGGATGGGGGCTCCTGGGAGCCTTCGGGGGGCCTCTCGGGGCCCCTCGTGGCCGAGGGGCCGAAATGTCTTGTCAGATCCCCCATCTGGGCCCCCTCTTGGCGCCGTCCTTGAAGCTTCTTGGGCGCCTCTTGGGCTGTCTTGTGGCCCTTGGGCCCTCTTGGAGGCCTCTTGCGACGTCTTGGGGCGATCTTGGGGGCCTCCTGGGCAGTCTTGGAGCGTGGGTAAGCCGAAAAAGCTCGACGACCCAAATCCTTGAAAAACCACGGGAGAATCAATGATTTTGGTCTTTGGAGGCCTCTTTGAAGCCTCTTGGGGCGTCTTGTGGGCTTCTTGGGCCGTCTTGGGGCCATCCTGGGCGTCTTGGGGCGATCTTTGGGCGTCTCGAGGCCCTTTTGGGCTGTTTGAGAGCCTCTTGAAGTCCTCTTGATTCGTCTTGGGGCCGTCTTGGGCCTGAAAACGTCAAGCGAGAAGCCGCGGCAAGCACGCGGGAAGCCGCGGCAAGCCCAAGGAGATTTGTGAATTCGGGGTCCGGACCGGACCCCTTGCGAACCCTTAGGATCGGAATCTGAGGCTCATGGGATTGGGAGAAGGACTTAAGGGCACGCCCACTCCGTGCCCAGCGGCACGGTGGCGGATGACAGGAAGCGCCTCCGGCTTGCACCGTTGGTTCTGGGATCTAATGATATTTTCTGAGGCTCAAGGATGCGGGGTGCACCAGGCACTCGCTGGTGGATGACGGGAACATGGCCGTTGAGGCCCTGGCTCGAGCGATTCTGGCGTCGTTTCTCGTGTCTGCGGGGTCGCAAGCCCCCGCTCAGCATGATCATCAGTCGATGGCGGGACTTGTCATGTTTCGTTTCTCTTCTGTGCGCCATCGCTAGCCGAAATTCACTACGCTGGAGGGCCGAGCGTTCGGTGGCGGCACGACCACCGTGGAGCTCCGTGTCGCAGGATGACTACTATGACGGGAGCGAGCCTGTGCACAGGATATGGAGCTATCATCGCGCCCACCGTGCTATGCTACTTGTATGAAGGCCAGGACGTTGCGGCGCGCTCAAGCTACGTGGCTACCTCAGACGGCGACACAACTTACTCGCCGGAAGCTCGAATCTGGGATCGCCCCGACTACATCATCACGCCTTCCCCACGGCAAGAGTCCACGCGGATTGCTTCACGGGACGGTATCACAGCTACACAACGGTGGCAGCTGGGACAACTGGTGGGCATACGTATGCAACGCAAGCCACACATCGACTTCTACGCCCTCTGTGGGTACGCCCCCGCAGGCAAGCCCCAAGCACGACCTATCACGGCGGCTGCCCACGCAGTATGCCGACGCAACAAGGATGAGTTCTTCGACAATGTGTACCGAGCCTTGGGTTTTATTCCCTCTCGATGTGCACCGTCGCTACATGAAGTGGGACATGCCAGCTCGCGGAGCAAGTACCGACCACAGTGGACCCACAAGGGACGGCGCCTGCATGGCATCCTCTCCCAATGGTATGCGAGCTCTCAACACCTTTGGACCAGCAGCAGGACGCAGCACTACATGGAGGTACCCCGATGGCCAGGGTGAGACAAGGATCGACCACATCGCTACCCCGCGCAACACGGGCTCCCAAGTTTCCGCAGGGGTCATCCGTGAGACCCCGCTGGCCCTGGGCCCCTCTCGGGACCATATGATCGTCGGGGCTTCTGTACATGTGGGCCGACACTTCACTGAGCGACCCCCCAAGACACTGACGCCGACGTGGCACCGACAACACATACTGAGCTCTCTGCAGGCTTGGCAGCGCTGGTCCACGGCAGAGGCGGAGGCCCCAGGCAGCGGCGGCCCAGTAACCACCGCCATCAGCGACGCCCTGCGCTTCCAGGACCGCGTGCACCACGCCAACGCCTCCATGGGTCACCTACAGTTGGCGCATGGTGCCTATGACGCCGCCGCGGAGGCGAACGTGGCCGAGAGCATCTTGCTGCAGGTCCCTGCGGCGCCCCAGGCGGCGTCCACTGCCAGCGAGAAGGCCCCTCAGAGGAATTCGTTCCAGGCGTCGCGCTGCTGGATCGGAGCGACTGACCGTCGCCGCGTGCTGATCGTATCCATCCCACAACCCCGTGGGGCGTTGAAGTGGCAGGAGCTTGCGGGACTTGTGATCGACGACGACCATGCTCCTCGCACCACGTCGTGAGCTCAAGGACGTGAAGTAGTAAACTGGGATGTTGGGTTTACTTCAGGTGGGTCCACCAGGCTGCATGCACCAATGCTCACTTCTTCAGTAAAGCCTGCTGCAAGCGCCTGGTCTAATTCTGTGTTTTTCCAA